TGTAATTCTTTACTATCAGGAAGTCCACAAACTGTAGTTAAAAGCCTTCAGCTGATCCAAAATGCTGCAGCCAGACTTCTGATGGAAATTAAGAAACAGAGATCATATCTCTCCTGTCCTGGCTTCTCTTCATTGGCTTCCTGTTAAATCCAGAATACAAATTAAAATCCTGCTTCTCACATTAAAGCCTTAAATGGCCAAGCTCCATCTTGTATCAGAGATCTGATTGTTCCTTATGTTCCTAACAGAGCACTTCGCTCTCAATCTGCAGGTTTATTAGTGGTTCCTAGAATTTCTAAAAATAGATAGGGAGGCAGATCTTTTAGTTATCAGGCTCCTCTCCTGTGGAACTAACTACCAGTTTTAGCCCGTGAGACAGACACCCTGTTTACTTAGGCTTAAAACTAACTCAGGTTATCCTGAGCTATCTCTGTAGTTATGCTGATATAGGCTTAGACTGCTGGAGGACATAGGAACCCCTTTTTCATCATTCTTCATTCTCCCACTCTGCAGAATTTGTTAGTTCAATCTCTACCGTTCTGCTCTCTCTGCTTTTCCTCATAGTAGCTTCATCTGATCTGTTCCTGTTTGGCTGTGACTCCATCCTGGAGAGAAATATCAGCTCTGCTGAATTTGTTAGTTCAATCTCTAACGTTCTGCTCTCTCTGCTTTTCCTCATAGTAGCTTCATCTGATCTGTTCCTGTTTGGCTGTGACTCCATCCTGGAGAGAAATATCAGCTCTGCTGCCATCAACACCTTTGTTTATAGATTTTCTTCATATAGATCTCTTCATCCTCTGACATGGGAGCTGGTTTGGAACTCATCTGCCTGTCTGTTTGCTTCCAGGACAGGGCCGCCTGTGAAGCTGGTTGACATTTGCATCTCTGCTTCTTTTTCTATCTCTGCTTCTGTCTCCTTGAACCCCAGTCGGCCTCGGCAGATGGCCGCTCACACTGAGCCTGTTTCTACTGGAAGTTTATTCCTGTTAAAAAGGAGATTTTCCTCTCCACTGTCGCTGCAAGCATGCTTGGTGCGAGGGATTGCCTTCGAGTCAATGAGTCGATACCATCGGCCGACTTACCTTCTGACTGCATGATCTGGTTGAACTGTCTCAGTAAAGTGCCTTGAGATGGCATGTTATGAATTGGGCAATTTAAATAAACTGAATTGAATTAAATCAGAAAGGTAGATCTGTTCTCTGGGATGGACTGAAATGAACAATGGACATAATTTAGCATCTCCTCTGCAGCAAAAAAAGCCACACATTATACAAGTATGCAACGTACTTGACGTAACAGTGCTAGAGGTAATAAGGTGTGTCCAAAGTGTTACTCAGGGACCATTTTCCCCCTAATTTTCTCTGGCCCCCATTTGTCTTTTTTTTGCTGAATATAGACACAAAAAAAAAAACTCAAAGACCAACCAATTAGAAAACATTAAATCCAAATTAGGAGGATCTTTTATTATGGCCCCCACAATGATCTGTCTGTGTCTTGTTATTATAATTGTGTCACTTAGTGAGCAAGAAAAGAAAATAACTTTTTTCCCTATTGCTATTAATTATAAAAATCAAAATGATGGTTCTTTGGTCTTTTATGGAATAAATGTTTGCATATCATCTGACTTCTTTTAAGATGGGGGTCAGGATTTCTCTGCAGCTACCCTGAATTTAAAACCTGTACCTTCCAAATAATGACACCACATTGTAATTTGACTTTTTTCCTTCTTTACTTAAAAAAGATTAAAATAAAGATGTAGAGTCAAATCAAAATAAAGACGCCCACATCACACATCCGGTCTGGAGACAGATGGCAGGACAAATGCTGCTGGTTTATTCGTCTCCCTTCGTAAACATCAGCATGTATGAAGACGGGCCGGATGAGAAGCAGGTCTTCAGTGAAAGCGCCTCCATAGGTCGCTCTGGATGTTTCATGTCCTCCTGCAGATTGTCCAAATGTCTCCAAGGGGAGGACAGTTCTGCTACAGCATGTTAAGCCTCCCAGGAGGATCCACAGTGATTCAGGTAGGACCGGGCCCTAATCCCAGGCCAGAAATGGCATCGCTCCATTGATGGCGTTCAAGTACTACCCTGATAGTACTGATTTAAACTATATCTTTTTTTTTTTTTTCCAGCATAAAAAAATAGATCAAAGAATGGAAAAAAAAAAATAATGTCCTGAGAGCAGGAAGTTGATTTCTAAAGCAGCTCTCTGGGTCTACGTCTGCACAGTGAGGACTACATGGGTTTGTAGGGTGGAGCTAGTTAACATTCATCCTGGAATATATTTCATCAACTTTTACTGCAACAGGTATCAGAATATTTGGGCAGTCGATACCCTTCACATTTAGAGTTTGGATGCTTCTATATTAATATATTAAACACAAAGTTCTTCAGCGCCTCCTGTCGTCTTGTTCAGGTGGCGTCGTCCTTTTTATTATTGCGACGAATAAAATCTTACAAGATGATTTAGAAAAGAACGTCTCTTCACTACAGTGTCTATGTACATGTGTTTAAAAAGCAAGCACGGCTGTGGTTATGTACAGCTAGATTTCATCAGTTCTTCCTCAGAATATACATATTTACTAATGTTCATAGGATTGTAGATTTATTCATATATTTCAAAATCAATAAATTTATATTTCTGCGTAATAATACAGATATCTATCTGCTGATCTTCCCGTTCTGTGATGTCCGCCGCTGCCTCAGAGCAGTCCTTTTTTTCCCCCCACAGAAAGGTTGAAGTTTCAAGTTTGCAGTTTTCTTTTTTTACTAGTCGTCTCTGATATAATTTTTTTGTCCTCTGTGTTTCTCCTCAGTCATGGGTTGAATAAAAAAAACAGAGATAGTTCTTTCTCTGGTTCCCTCAGGTTATGGAGGGTCACTGAGCCCACCTCAGTGGGCTTCTCTCCTGACCAGTACAGACCCGTCGGCTTTGTGAATCCTGTTTCTTTGTGGTTCCTTGTCTCGGTTGGTGGTGGTGGTGTTGTTACTGCAATAAGGCACTTGGGAGGTTTTTGGTTTTCAAGGAAGCTCAGAGGAAACCAGGGCCAAGCCGGAGCTCTGGCGGATGGGAGGCCCGGTGTGGACGGCCTTGGGACAGTCGGGTGTCAGGACTCGTCCGTTTTCCCCGACGCTGCCTGTGATGGACAGACGAGCCTTGTTCCTCATGGCTTCTGTGAATGTCAGCTAAAGAGAAACACAAAGAAGGAAAGTGTTCAGTTAATGAAACTCCGAAGACCTGGACTATTGCAGATTGGGGTTATGGGTCAGAACTTCGGCTAAGGTATCAAATATCTTCCCTCTTATATATTTACTCAGTCTTTGCTTCTTTGTCTCAGGATAATCTGTTTATCCCTTTAACTAAATAGGATTTTAAAGATATACATATCTATTTTAAGGAAAATAAAGTCATTTCTTTGTGATCTGATACATTTTTAGCTTTTCTTTTACCACATTATGCACTGATTTCCAGAATATCAGATTAAAGGCACACTATGCAACACTTTTCAGTTAATTAATGTGTTCCATAAA